CCAAGGGGCCACGAGTTTAGAAACATGAAAGGTATGCCCTCTGTCAAGTCTACATTGAATACCGCCGAGGAAACACAAGCCGTCTCCCAGGGAATGAAGCATTTCACGTCGCCTCATGGCGGAGCAGGAAGATTCGTCGCTTTCCGTGAATCTCATCGTCTCAGGTACTATCCAGAAGCATCATCACAACGAGGTTCCTTTTCATGACAATTCCAAGATAGTTGGGGGCGCAGAGACTCAATTTGGAATACAAATTAGTACAGCGATGCCGCATTAGGATACATGCCGATGTGTAAGGTAGTCTGAGGGTTTCGAAAGTCGTTTCATGTATGCCCTGGCAGAATCCCTGTACTTAAACCCCTTATCCATTTTCAGTACCAGAACCGTTCTCGCCGTTGTTTATAGATAGGATACAGCAATGGTATACTGGTGAAAATCTCATTTCAGCCGGCTGATTTAGTAAAGGGAGTAAACCTATGGATTGTGCTTGCCCCGCGTTGGCCTTGGAAAAATTGAATACGCTCATTTACGATACATATACGGAGCATGTATGTATATAATGTATGTTTCAGAATTCTGTACCTGGCATGACTAGGTAGTAGATACCATGAAATCAATTGCTAATCTGCCGGTCAGGTATAGTGAAGTAAGTTATGAGTCGGAATTAGTATCCCTTCGTTTGTACTCTCGAGAAGTATCAATCCCATGGAAGATGCTCAAGTACATCATAGAATTAGCTCTATTAGAGCCATAGACCAAAACATTCAAGAGATGACCTTTGAGATCATCAATAATGAGCAGTTGAGTACCTGGCATGTGATTCATGCTGGTGATTGATATTAAGGTCACAACTAGTGGTTATATTTCCAAAAGGTTTGTTTCATTGTGGATAATGCAATTGTTCCTGCAGCGTCGCAGAGAACTGGGCGAATAGGAGGATTTTCAAAAAATCATCTATATGTATGATGAATTTACCTGGTTTCAGTCAAGAGGTCGACATTGAAGTATAAAATTCAGCAATGGAAGAATTGTCTCCTCAAATACCTAGGTAGACGCTGCAACTTAGAAATTTCACTTTGTCTAGCTATCTTGTGGTAAACGACATTTCATTCGCCTAATTGTATGATTGTATAACTGTATAATATATGTCCACAGACTCTTCTCTTTGAAGCTTGTATTACTACTGGCTGCATCTCAAGAGTTCCAAGCCCTCTATACTTCCTTCCTTCTGTGGTTCCTACAATATCAAGCTTAAACGAATTGTTCATCAAGTACCTAGGTACTCGTATAATTTTTATTTTATTTTCAAAACTAAAACGAAAACCAAACTGTTTTTTCTAAGCTTTTGCTGCTAACTCTACTCGTAGTCCACACTCCGGACACTATTTTTACTACCTCTCACCTTATTCCCTGTAATCGCGAGGGAACAAGGTTTTATGAAGTCGTGTGGACGGCACGCATCCGTGAGACAAGGGAGATTGAACGATGCCGAATGGTTCAAAATGTCCTTCGAAAATCCCAATCAAGAATGAGTTCAACCAGGATATCTGCCACCGTAAATTTTCAAAAACTCAAATCAGTCATGATTTCATTATCAAATGGATTTCTTCTTTCTAGAGCAACACTACAATCTTATCAACGATAAACTTTAGATGCCACTAATTGTAGTGCGTGTGTATATCTAAATTTTCGAGGTTAAAGAATTAGTCAGATCGTTCGAACGTTTCTACTCTTTACATCGTTGCTCGTGGGTTAGGTCATCAATCACGATGCGGATTCGCTTCAAGGAATGAATATCAAAAAGATAATACAGCCAGCTATGCTACTATGCTAGTAAAGTATCTCGTTGAAATTACAAGGGAGCGTCTGGGTTCTAGCTCTTGTTAGCCATCAACAGCATTTGATTCTAGTACCTTTTCGTAGTATTAATTGATATTTCTGTCTGAATTTGGATGTATAACAATCCTATTATATCTCTCTAACGGCCGAAAAGGGAACCCAATTTCATCATTATTATTGGAGATAGATAGCATGACAAAATTGCTCCGAAAAAGCTGGCATCAGAATTGTTCGGAGAGTTAGGAGTTTGTGTCCTTAATCCTGTGACTTCTATCTCCGACGTCTCATGGTTTCGAAGTAACGTGAATGTTAAAGACTCGAGTCAATAGAGTGAAGTTAATCCCCTCTAAGGTCTAAGGTCAATAGGCGTCATTAATCGATAAGTGCTAAATTGCCCGGTCAAACACCGGTCGGTATTCAAGTATTTGCAATCTTTTCAAGAATTCGACATTACAACGAGAGTCATTTCAACATCATCAGTGGAACGACATCTAGCCATGAAATTACCCTGGGGCTTAGCAGGACATATTGAGGCGCACTGGAATATCTCTTACTGGATAGTCTGGGCTGTTGCGAGATCCGGTATGATGGAGAATCATGGTTTCCCCTTGAGAAATTTTGTTTTCACTGTAACGTGATGACTCCACCACACTTTATGCTAGTCAAACCCATGCATGCGGTTGAGGAGCTATCTTGGGCGAAATATCCTTGCATGGGAAAGACTATGGGTGACTACAAGCGACAAGGTCTCCTGCCTCCCCCTTCGGAGCTTCGTCCATAAACAATTTCCAAAAGATGAAGTACACAATACCTATTTTTGTCTATCAGAGAAAGCTGTGGCTAGAACTATCTACTTGGACGAGCTGACAAGCAAGCCTTCAAAATAGTTACTGCTACTTCCAGCTGACATACACAGCAAAATCTTTCTCTCTTATCGACTACACTCATATCGAGATAGATGCAAAACTCAGAAATCCGTTTATAATTCCCAGAGTTTCTATTATATAACCTAAATCTTCTTATTATACTATACGAGCACATCCGAGTTTCGATTGAGTTATGTCATATTTATGGAGTGGTCGATAATGTCTCCTCGGTGGTATATGTATAGAAAGAGGTATATATGAATCGTAAAGCGTAACTAACTGACTACTCAGGTCTCTCCTTTCTCATACCATTCCAGAAAATCTGTCCGACACTAAAACCTTGATATAATACGACCAGATATCCAGTCAGTCAACTAAACTTCCTTTCAGCATATCAGGTATATGATAGGTACATGTATGGTAAACTACTATATATAAATCTCTAACCGTGTATGTATATCCGAAGCGAATAAATAGAAGAATATAAATTCTATAACGCGACAGCTTTGGGGTCTAGTTAATACAGAGTAGTATAAAAGACTAATATGGCTTTATAGAGTACTAGCTACCTGGATACTTGTACTCCTTGGGTACTAGTCAGTCCAGAAGAAAATGCGGCAGAAAGCGAAAAGCGGAAAAGGGACCTGAAAATCCCACTATTTATCCTTGTCGAACAACCAACCTTGTTCTTTTCCCTATATCTCCAACTTCAAAAAGAAGCCTCCTGGTCCCAGCCAGTTCTTCATCAGTCCAATGATATGATGCTGCTCAAGAGCCCCATGTATGGATTCTGATGCAGACTTGCTGCAGACTGCAGGACGGAATGGTTTATTAGTGAACGGCTAATATCTAAATCTTCGCCTCAAAGGAGAATAGTCTGCCTTTAATTCCTTTACAATTTGCTGTATCAGTAAGCCCAAAACAAACACCATGAGTAGAATACGTAGGTACTTTACGGAATGCAATGTTTTGGTTACTTCCACTTTTCTAACTGTTACTCAGAGAGATGGAGATGATTTGTATCGAACGAAGAGGAAAAACGAAAGAAAGGAAGAAGTTTACATACGACAAGCAATAAGAAACGGGAAGCAGAAAAAAGCAACAGGAAAAGAAAAAAAGAAGACAAAACCGTTCATTCTACGATTTATTATCATGTAAGAGAGAAAGCAACAATGATGATTGGACTCCACTTCCATCAACTTATTATTGTTATAACTTAAAATCTTCAATTCCACATTTTTCATCAACTCGTTCGACTACCGATCGGATTATCATTAGACAAAAGAGGGAAGAGGGCCAACTATCATCTCAAGAGTCAAGGATAATTCATTCGGATGTGAAAATCTCACTTGTCTCTTGAGATCGATATTGCATCCACTGCTTTCCTTGCATACCTATTGATCCGTCCATTCATATGTACTGTACCCATATTGCTATCCTTCTTGGATTGCTTCATCGACAATTGGAAATCGAGGGAGGCCCTGACTGCCCTACCTCATTGTTGGTTAATGTTGATTGACTGCCTACCTGGTATACAATATCATCCTCGCATATCCTACTGGGGTCCCTCGTTACCTTGCACTTTCTTCTTCGTGGGGAAAGAGGTATTTACTCACGAGAATTCCATTCATTCACTGTCCACTGTATTGCAGATACCTGCCGTACGAGTCAGAAAAAAAGTCTAATATCTTGAACGCAATCTTGCCTTCGAGCTATAAAGCATCTCATATCTTATCAAGGCGCCATGCTATCTCTAGATTCTCTACCTTAAAAAGCTTTGAACCGGCAAGCATCTTCCCACTACAACAAGCTGGACATCCATATCTTGCATCTTTCTTCTGAATCCACATTCAAGAATCACTCTTACAACCATCATCCTTCTCAACTCCCCCAGAAAACTAAAGTCGTCGATCTCGGCCGCCTTTGAATTCCCGACGATTCTACTTCAAGAATGGTCCTTGTTTCGCAACTTTAACATATCCACACTACTTCAGAGACACTTTGACGTCGAAACAACCAGACCATATTTTCGCCAGTTAGTCAAGTCTACCTGCCGAGAACCCTTATTTTTTCACACCTTGTCCAGCCACTCGCATGACCCGACACAGCACAAGCTAGAGCTAGATCCAGGAACCTCAACTTTAGCCTCCTTACCACGTTCACAGTTTCCCTCTATTGCTCGTGCGCCCCACCATTCCGTGTTTGGGTGGATGATTAACAAGCTCCAGTCCATATCCCGCATCCAAAAAAAGTATGTATATGAACTCCTCCTGCTCACATCGATACTTCATCAAACTCATCCAGTCTTCAATTCTCTGACTTCCTCAGATCTCCTTGAAAGTTTCGTGCTATTCTCGTACACAGTTTACGAGAACCATCGTAGCTCTCCTTTCATAATACTTTCTTGCCAGGGCCTTCTCCAAGTCAGATCGCCAATATCACTCTCGCTCAACGCTATTGCGCTGGACGCTTTGTATCTTACAAGATTCTCCCATTGGGTTTCTAATCGACATCACTTGCATATCAAGCAACCAAACCACAACACTTGCTTTTCTTTTATATCAAATTCTCAGTCCACTACTCGATCAGATTTCACAACATCGGACCACAACTGAACAGCTCTCTCTTGAGACTTAATACTTCAACTTCGATAGATAGAATCTAGGAATACATAATGGACGTCATGGAGCTAGTCGAGAACGAGCAAAACGCACGCCCCTTTCAATGCGATTGGAAAACATGCACCAAGGTACGAACTACCAATGCAATGAATACAACGTCAGCTGACAGTAAACGTAGAGCTTCAACAGAAAATCTGACCTTCAACGTCACTATCGCATACATACAAATGAGAGACCCTACTCATGCGTAACTCCAGGATGCGGGAAAAGCTTCATTCAAAGAAGTGCCTTGACCGTACACATCCGTACACATACTGGTGAAAAGCCTCATCAATGTCAACACATTGGCTGTGGCAAACGATTTTCTGATGTAAGAAATACAAAGAAAAGTCGACGAGACTATTGCTAATGTTATCACATAGTCATCTAGTCTTGCCCGTCATAGACGTATTCACACAGGCAAGAGACCTTACAAATGCGCACACGATGGCTGCTTGAAGAGGTTTGTGCAACAGAGAAATTGTAGTTTGATCAGCACTAACATGCAATAGCTTTTGTAGAAAGACTACTATGGTCAAGCATCAGAGACGTTCGCATCAGCGTGGCATCCATTCATCAGAGCTTGATGACGGCGAGACATCTGATTCTGACAGCGGGGAATCGCCAACCACTCCTCAACATCACTCTAGTCAAATTCAGTGGCCTCAACACCTAACAGTCCCAGGTGTTCCACATGCACATCAGATGCATAGAGCACACTCATTTGCGGATTTTGGACAACATCAACAGATTGATGGCTACCCCATGCCACAAGCCTATGCCCACAGACACAGCCTGTCGGGAGGTCCTCAGGCATACGGTCCTATTCCAGATCAGCACCATCACGTTATGCAAAGACAGCCTAGTCTCCAGCACGCTTCTTATTATGTTCCTGAGCAGAACAACCCAGGAGTCGCAACTTTGAACACCAACCCTGCTCCAATTCAAACGTACCACATTCCTCGACATTCCATGGAGAGACACCCTCAGGAGATACTACAAAGCAGCCCCGGTAGTTACTCTTCTCACTCCCGCGCCAGCCCAGTCTCCCAAGAACCTTACTATACACACACTCAGCACTCGGTTCACGTTCCTACATACGCTATTCACGGCCAGTCGCCAACTGAACCACAGCCAATGATTCATTACCAGCAGCACGTGCCAACACCTCAATCGATTCCATCACCAGTCCCACAAGTGCAGCATCAATTGCAACACCAATATCCACAACCTCCCGAGCATGGCCAGTGGTATGAGAGCACTCCTTACCAGCAACCTGAAGTGATCAGCCATGTGTCAATGTATCCTCAGGTTACTGTCTTCAGCGATCCATGGCACAAGCTCGAAACATTTGATGATCCATCATTACAAATGCCCAGTGCTCGCATTGAGAATTTGTAACAACACTGAACAGTCAAACAACACGCTCGTTTCGAAACTCTCTTTAGCGATTGTATCATTAATAAGACGTCGTATACCCAAGGACTGAGGCACACAGGACTGCAGTTTGTTCCGTTTCATCAACAAAAAAGTTTTCACTTCTCCGAGTCTATCCGCGATATACCTAGTACATTAACGACATTCACGAATGCATCTCATCCGTCAGCCAGACATTCCAGCTCTCACTTTCGGAATAATCAGCTTGTCGCAGCATTTTCACATACTTTTTCTTTGTTTCATTACTTTTCTTGTTTCATAGTAGTTTCCGTCCGGTTTTGCGTACAGATAAAGCCGGATCTAATATTGGCCGGGAGGGGAGGAATATGGAGAGAGGGTACATAATGAGGAGGTGATATTATGGCGCCACGAGTTCAACGAGGTTATTTCCTTTATGTTATATACTCGCGCATCTGGAAGCGTACCGTGCTCTTTGTGCATAGAGGCTGGTGATCAAGGCCGGTTTTGCCGTCTGTATCAATACTTATTTAAATGTTTATTGGTTTTGGACATGGGAATCAGAATTGGATATGGTATTCAATTTGGAATGGGAAGCCTTGTGTGTATTTATAGTAGTAGTAAATAGCTAAATGAATAGTATAATATCACCTATATCTGGACTTCATTGACCCTGCTTGCTTTTCTCTCGCTTGTGATTAAAGACGAAGTTTGAATCGGGTGTATTTACGACAAGAAACTCAACTGGCAAAAATTCGATCCGGGCGAGGAGTCTTTCAGGACTTTATTAGGCTTATGTAGGTGAAAGGTCGGCAGGCTGTATGAGTCCTTGACTTCCTGCACACTCACTTTCCTTGAACATTGGCCCTGATACATTTCCTGAAGCGATGTCTCAACAGTAAACGATGGGTATCCGTAACATATATTCTAGATTCCCCCTTATTAGTAGATTGTTACATACCAGTAGGTAGTAGTTTGAAGGCGCTATTCTGACAAACACGTGGTAGTAGTCGAACAAGATCTAGATTGGTGGGTTGCATTTAGCGCTAATCCAAAACAGGCTTAGGAAATTAATAAGCGGCGGTCTCAGCCTTCTTCCATGATGCACTACGAGAAGTGATTTACAAGTTTGCCTTCGGTGTTCCAGTTTGGCATCAACAATCAAGACGTCCTCGAGATCGAGGCTCAACAAAACTTCATTTCTTAGACTCTGCCGACGAAATATTGATACAGTCAACCAATTTTGCAAGGAGAAATACTTAAGAGAATTCACTTGGTGGTGGTTGACAGGAGGTGTTTATAATCTAATTCTATTTGGTTCTGCCAGTCATGGCAACACCAACTCATGGGTTTTCCACGATGGCTACATCTTTGAGGCTTCTAGTTCGGAAGGCACCGGAAAACCAATTTGCGAAGATGATCCTTCCATCGGTGCGAATGGTTCGTAGAAACAAACATCTTATCTCTTTTAAATGGCCTAACTAATGCTGTCGCAGCTTTCGACTACATCGATTCCTGTGCCACCTTTCAGCGCACGAATGGACTCAATGTCCCCAGGCCTTCGACATGCATTTATCTCGGTTCCAAAACGTATCTCTACTGCGAATCCATTGACTCCATCTTCATCTATTCTGGCCATGACTCGTTGCCGTCAAATATCCACGTCTTCATCTCTGCGACCACGGCAGTCGATGCCATTTACCAAACCCATCGAATCTCAGCGAAGATCTCTCTTCGGTGGTAGCACATCACACAATTTACTCTCTCACTTGGAAGAAACTGCAAACAAGAATCCTACTAGTGCCACGGCTCAGAATGCTCTCTACCAAGCGCTATTGAAGGCAAATATGCCAGCCATCATTGCCGACAGGTATCAAACTGGTCATTTCGCATCAAATTCTGCTTGTGAAGGTGCATATCATAGAGCTCTAGGTATGTTGGGACAGATGAACGGCGGCATGGCAAATCCTTCCGGACAAACAGGAAATATCGGCAACGCGCAATTGCAGGCTCTTGGTCAAGCAGTCGCTGCTACTTCTCGAGGAGGTAATATTGCTATATCTCGCGGTCAAGCATCTGGTTCTGGCGACAAAAACTCCCCTATGCATGTTGTTGTTGATGAAACCATGGGAAACACTATTTTCAAATGGGTCAAATTCGCTCTTTACTTTGCACTTTTCACGTATATCAGTCTGGTCGTTGTTGCTATGATGATTGAAGGCTTCAATTCGATCGTCGCCAGAAGACCGGGAGGGGCGAAAGCCGATAACGAGGCCAAGGCTGAACACCAAAATGTCAGATTCACGGATGTTCATGGTTGTGACGAAGCAAAGGACGAACTTCAAGAACTCGTAGATTTCTTGAAGAATCCGGAGAAGTTCTCGACGCTCGGTGGAAAACTTCCAAAGGGTGTCTTGCTCGTTGGCCCTCCTGGAACTGGTAAAACTTTATTGGCCCGTGCGGTTGCTGGCGAGGCCGGCGTTCCATTTTTCTTTATGTCTGGTAGTGAATTCGATGAAATATATGTTGGAGTTGGTGCAAAGCGAGTTCGAGAACTTTTCACTGCTGCGAAAGGCAAATCACCAGCCATCATATTCATCGATGAACTGGATGCTATAGGAGGCAAACGAAATGCTCGGGATGCCGCATATTCCAAGCAAACCCTCAATCAGCTACTTACTGAACTAGATGGGTTTGCACAAAACAATGGCGTAATAATTTTGGCTGCTACTAATTTCCCAGAATTGCTAGATAAGGCTCTTACACGACCGGGCAGATTTGATCGAAATGTCGTCGTTGGACTACCAGATGTGCGTGGTCGATTGGCGATCTTGAAGCATCACATGCAAAAGATCATTGCTTCTCCTGATGTCAACATTGAAACACTTGCTTCTGGTACGCCAGGATTTTCTGGCGCGGAACTTGAGAATGTCATCAACCAAGCTGCTGTGCATGCCAGTAGAGCGAAAGCAAAAGCGGTATCTATGTTGGATTTCGAATGGGCAAAGGACAAAATAATGATGGGCGCGGAAAAAAGGAGCATGGTCATTTCCCAGAAGGAAAAGGAGATGACAGCCTATCATGAAGCAGGGCATGCCCTCGTTCTCATGTTCACCCCAGGAACAGATCCCTTGCACAAGGTTACGATTATGCCCCGAGGCAGTGCTCTTGGTATAACTTTCCATTTGCCAGCAATGGATAAGTACTCAATGACGTTGGATGAGTATGAGAGCAGGCTTGACGTCTGTATGGGAGGTAAAGTGGCAGAAGAAATCAAATATGGCCCCACAAAGGTCACTAGTGGAGTTTCTAGCGTAGGTCTTCTCAACTTGTTACTAGTATTAAAGGTTCTTAGTAAGCGGAAGAATACTAATTTTGTGAACAGGATCTCCAAACTGCCACAAGCCTTGCATATAACATGGTCACTAGATTTGGAATGTCACCTGAGCTTGGTAATGTAGACTTGATGACAAACTACGAGCATCTCTCCGCTGGAACCAAGCTGCTTGTCGAGTCTGAAGTTAGACGCGTCATTGAGGAGGCTCGTCTTCGTGCTGTTAAACTCATCGAATCCAAGCGTAAGGAACTGGATCTCTTGGCAAAGGCTTTAGTGGACTACGAGACGTTAGATAGAGAAGAAGCCTTCAAAGTTGTCAAGGGAGAGAAATTGGTGGGCAGGACAATTTCCCCTTCGGGAAGCATAAAAGTACCTGAAAGTATGGGCACTTCACTTGCACCAATTCCTGGAAGCCAAAGTCCCGAGGATAAAGGACCGAAGGGTCCACCAGGTGGTGGTGCTCTTGCACAGTAAAGGAATGATTCACTCAACTCATCGGGACGGCGTTTCGGTGGTGGTGGATACACATATATATGTGTTGTAACGATTATTTGCACGATTAAGCATGGGAGGTGGTCTCATGGTCCGGAGGATCACAGCATTATTGCCTTGTTATTGGTAGAGGGAATGGGAATCATGTCTCTGCCTTACGATAGTGATCATTAGCGCTAGAAATTTCACCTTTTTTTATATTTTGAGATGACTTGTGTAACTATGTGGGCTTGGTAGCTCAACGGGTGAATGGATGCTCCGAACATTAATTCTGAAGTACGTTCTTAGTCTGTAGTTTAGCATCCCCACGCATCTCCAGACTACAATGCACACAAACAGAATACAGTAGCACAGCAGCTAATTTGCAATTGTGCCATTCGCGGATCATTCGGCCTATAATTGTCGCTCAACATTAGTCTACATAGGTAGTTATTCATGATATATGCATACAAATGTCCTTATTATAGACGACCTTTCTCGCCAAACTTCTTATTACACTTTTCTTAGTCGTGGTGTTAGTACGTTTAACACGTAGATCAAAAATTGAAGGCTAGCTACCTAGCTTAGGTTAAATTAGATTAGATTGGATTGATTGACTCCACGAAAGCACCGATGAACACTAGATATGTTTCTGCGTGGTTATAGTACCTAAGCTGCCATAATGTTATAAGTTTTACTTTTTATATTTGTATCTGTTCAGACCTTGATGTGATTTACGAAGTATCTAGCTTTTTCCTCCCAGTATGCTTGCTCTCTTTCTCTATTAAACGGATAATTGGCATCATCAGACTATATTACCGTCGCCGATCATGAATTGCTTTCCTGGAGGAACAACTAAGCACTGCAGTTCAGCATACACGCATTGTTGCACCGAGTAAGTTGATGTGAATTCTGTACTAAAGGAATAAAAATATATGAATCCCCTGCCCCCAACCCAATCCTGGAAACCTCACCAAATCCCTCCGTTCTTCAGCTATTCTGAAATTCCAATTTTTCACACGAGATACTAGCAAAACTTTGCAGGTTCTCGTTTACTAAGAAACTTTGCGTGAAAATGAGCAAATGCATATGAGTTCGAGAAATAAACGATAGCTCATATTGCCAAACAAAAACTATCCGCCGGGAAGATTAATGCTGTGAATGTGGAAATATGAAATCAGGCGAGCTGCAAATGATAGATTATTGATAGTGGATCGACAATCTCTCCACGAAAGAGTTGCTGAATTTTTGGTAGATGATCCAAAGACTTTCCTGCATGTATTTGATATCATATGATAAGACATAGATGAGAATAAGTAATGAAAGCGGGAAGAAGATAGCGCCGACTCGCACTGAGAATGTTGAAAAAAAAATATCTACCTTCCTTCGAAAAATACTGGGCACTGCCGTCATGCAACCTCTAGCAAGGAAGATCCCTCCAAGGACGTAGGGTGAGCGATTGGGATGTTGTTCATAAAGGAGAACCTTCAGAGCCAAATCGAGGTTGGGATCGCCCGTCACTTACTGCCCCTTCAAATAGCCGACGCTGATTGTTGACTAATCTTTCGTCTGAATTCATCACCCTGCACCATCCCATCTCAATAGCTTTCTCCTCATCATGAAAGATCCGCTCAAATTTATCTTTTAATTCAGCCAGTTCTTTTCTCACTCTGGTTTGCGAAGAAAGTCTTGATAGCTGGTATACCTTATCTTCCTTGAACCAGCCCTCCTGATCATTCGTTGTCGCGAGATGAATATCTACCTCTAGAACAAGTCTCCTCCCATCACTCTTCTTAACAACAATCCTTAATTTCTGGCAGCTCAACTTCATAATAGCATTCATTACCTCTCCATCTTCCCAAAGAAAATCCGCAAAAGTTATAGGAGCATGTTCAAATCCCAAAGCTGTCGAAGTGAAGCCTACCTGCTGCGGTGTCAACACGATGGTGAAAGTTTTCAGTACTGACTTCGCTACTACCAAAGTTTCAATGCTTTCTGCTGCCTTGTAATACCAGTCCATATTCCAATTATCTTTTGGACATTCGAGAACCACATTTTTTAACAAATTTAAATAGCTGGTTGTAATCCTTGGGATGCTCCAGGCAGGCAGTCGTGAAATGTTCTCTCGGAGCAGCGCATGGAAGGTATTGTTTTTATAAAGGAATGAGAGAGCCTCTGCACTGATCTGTTTGCATATGAACAATATCTTCTTGACAACAAAACCGGGGCAGCGTTCGACAGCTTCCCAATCATAATTGACGAGGATCGAGTTTGGGGAACGAAGAAAATACCCATAGATTCGCTCACGGACTTCCAAAGGATAGCGCAGGAATGGAGAGCGACTTGGACTATTCATTTCCACTGGTTCAGGTGTAGCTTCACGACTGCACAGTTCTGGGTAGCGGTTGAAAAAACCTGCACTGCGTGCTGCATGATTACGGCCGAGTCCTGGTCGTTGTTTGGACGTGGCGAATTTACGCTTGCGCTTGGGGGCTATAATCATTGCCGAGGAGGGGATGCCCCAAGTATTATGCGAATGAGAATTAGCATCGAAACTGGGTGTAAACTGGCTCAGATCATCATTCTCATCGTCAATTTGGAGTGATGCCATGGTTATTCGGGCACAGCGACGTTTGCGCGATGCCTTGGAAGTCATACTACCGATAATTTTACCATTTTCATCACGGTCTTTGGGAGCTGGCCTTTTGCGTGAATTTGAGACCTTTGCCTTAGGTCCCTCACCTGAAGGTTTTGGCATATTTGACAGTGTAATTCTGATAGTCGCTCGGTTCGTTAAGTTGCCCGATTGTACCAGAAGTATAGAATCTAATTAGATAAAAATTCAAAGAAGACACTGGGGGTGCCTTTCTGAGTGAATGATTGCGATGACCAACGTGAAAAAAGTCATAGGATTGAACTTTGAGAAGTGAATCGCTATCACAATCCGAGTGCCAGTAAGAGGGTCTCAAAAACAGATAGGTCGAAACGATTGCCTGAAACCGCCGACAATATCAAAATGAGTAAAGCAATAGCAATGATAACCAGAGACTGGATTTGTTAAAAGCTGAAGTAGAATCTATCTACCAGGCCTGGAAAGGATGAAAGGAGGATGATTCTGCCGACCTCAGGAAATGTAAAGAATTTGTAGAAGATGAACTCGAGACGCATGAAGCAACGGTGAAAGCGAAGTTGGGCCAGCCCATGGAGTATATTTATTTCAAAGTAGGCCAAGGAAGAAAATGGAAAAGATGGTTGTAAACATTCTTGATAATTCTGTAAATGATTGGACTGAAAAAGAGAGAACCATGGCTTAATAGCGGAATAGGTAGGTATGATTGGTTATGGATGGTGGTTACTTGATATTGTATGGGGAAGGCGCGATGAAACCACTGCATCGTCTAATAATCAATGAACTGGCATGGTCTTACCATTCAAGTGAGGACTACGAAGTAATCGAGACATATAAGAATCACAGTATCCCCGATTTCATGTCCCAAACTCATTCCAGATGTAGATTCCTGTATACAAACACACTTTCAATGAGCGAGAAGCATAAAGGGGGAAATTCAGATTGTATTGACCGATATAGAGACGAGATAGCATAGTGAGTGTGCTAGAGAGCTATGCAACGATCATCTTGATCTCATGTAGCAATCAATTCAAGTGTACACTATAACAACTGTATGCGAGGAATAATGAAATATTGACCAATTCGTAGGAAAACAAACGAACATATATACAAATGTAGATGTTAATGTCTAACGAGGTCTCTAGATGAAAACATAGATAACGCTCCGCTTGGCCACTGCCGTGGAGGCTTCTTCGCTTCGCTCTGGAATATTAGCTGAGCAATACGATCCGTTACTAGATGTTTGAAGCGGGTTCTTGAGAATAGATTGTAATATAGGAGGGATAGTTGCATATTCTGCGTACAACAGGTAGATAACCAGGATAGATACCTAGACAGATAGATATTGATGAGTAATTGGTCTAATATTATGGGTCAAAGGTACAAATGACTTAAATTAATGTGCACAGCCACCAATTCCAGCTTGTCAGGGGAAACCTTATCATCTTACCTCATATAATGGTCGAAGATTGGATTATATGGAATCCTATTGGTGGACAACGTTTTAGTACTGGTAATCTGTCGATAGTACCGTGGACCGTGGACCGTGGACCGTTTCTCAATACTTGGATTCCCTCGATTTCGTAATGACACGAGCGACCCTTAAGGGTTTCTCTCTTTTCTAGAATAATAGATTTCCTCCATGGCTCCTCCTGGGTAGAGGAACCTTGGCGAGCTTGGTCTTAGATTTCAATCTAGAAGTAGGTCGCGTTCAATAATGGACCTTTCGCTGACTGGTCCATCTTCTTCTCCTTCGTACCTTGCTGTATTATATTATGTAAGTCTTACCATTGATTTGTCGCTTGGTTCCCTTTTATTATTGTTGTACAAGTGAATCATTGTCGCGCCGCATTGCATCTGTATCTGCCTCTTGATCTTGAATCAATTCAAATAAAACATCACTACATATTCAACACATATTTCCTGCTGGACCTGCTTGTGTGTATGTGGGACCTGATTCTAATGCAATGAATGGCAGGCTCAACTACGGAGTACAATGACAGGCACAACTACGGAATTCAAAGATAGGCATAACTATAAGGAGGTTCTCCGGTGAACCCTTCGGTCACCGTCGGTCACCGTCAAAACAAAGCAACATTCGCGATCAAGCTCGAGTACAACTGCAAAATCACTTTTTATAATTACACCCTCGAGTTTTGAAAGCACTCAAAGTCCCTAGACCTCACCCACTCTTCATATTTCTGTGCGCGACAGCACCTACACCGAGAACGATCGAGTTGCTATAATCAGCGGGAATATGGAGAAAGCGACTATCAATGGCTCGAGCAATGGTTCGAGTACTGGTGAAAGGAAGACTCCTTTGACTAGGAAAGAGTCTTCTCCTATGATGCCACCGTTTATGGTATCAGCTCCAGGAAAGGTTATTGTGTTTGGAGAGCACGCCGTCGTGCATGGAAAGGTGGGTGCCATTGCTCTAGATATGCTATTTGAAAACTAACAGTAGAGATAGCCTGCGATTGCTGCCGCGATTTCACTTCGATCATATCTTCTCGTTACAGCCCTTTCAAAATCGAAGCGCACAATCTCCCTTCGTTTTCCCGACATTAATCTCTCACATACATGGAATATCGATGACCTGCCGTGGAGCACCTTCTCGCATCCGTCGAAGAAGAAGCACTATTATGATCAGGTCACATCTTTAGATCCAGAATTGGTCGCAGCCATGAAACCACATCTTGAGAACATTTCTCCCGAGGAATCACCCGCCATACGAAAGATACACCAGAGCTCTGCCTCGTCCTTTTTATACATATTTTTATCACTCGGCTCACAATCATTCCCGGGCTGTTTATATACACTTCGCTCAACAATTCCAATTGGTGCAGGTCTTGGTAGTAGTGCCTCGATATCTGTCTGTCTTTCGTCCGCACTTTTGTTGCAGATTCGCACATTATCTGGACCACATCCGGATCAACCATCCAATGAGGCAAGCTTACAACTTGAGAGAATCAACCGTTGGGCATTTGTGGGAGAAATGTGCATACATGGAAATCCCTCTGGGGTCGATAACACAGTTTCAACGCAAGGAAAGGCTGTGATTTATCAAAGATCTCCCGATGGACCTACTGTGAAGTCATTGAGGAATTTCCCAGAACTCCCTCTACTGCTTGTAGACACACAGCAGGCAAAATCTACAGCTCATGAGGTTGCTAAAGTGGGTTTGTTGAAGCAGAAGCACCCAGCTATTGTAGATTCGATATTCAATGCTATTGACATGGTTGGTCAATCAGCCGCGGCCATGATTTCAGATCCAGAGTACGATAGCAAGGATCTTGAGTGCGTTGAGAGCCTGGGAAAATTGATGACAGTCAACCATGGACTTCTAGTTTCTTTGGGAGTATCTCACCCTCGTCTGGAACGCATCCGGGAACTTGTCGATCATGAAGGAATTGGCTGGACTAAGCTTACCGGTGCTGGAGGGGGAGGGTGCTCTATTACACTACTGAAGCCGGATACTACACATGAGAGAATGGCACGCTTGGAGGAAACATTGGAGACTGAAGGTTACAAAAAATTCGAGACTACACTAGGTTGTGATGGAGTGGGTGTTTTATGGCCCGCAGTGATCAAGAATGGAGAAGATGATGATTTTGGGGGAGATGAAATCGACCAAGAAAAATTTCTCAACGCTGATGGGATAGAAGGAGTTGAAGAATTGGTTGGAGTTCATGGACAAAGTGGTGACAGGGAAGCATGGAAGTTTTGGAGGGTTGAAGAGTAGAATGCCGGAGACAGCACAATTACTTCTTTTCTCTATAAATTATGTTAACATGTTATTCTATAAGGACAATAATGAAATGAAAATGTATATACAACAAAAAAAAAGAATCAAAACATTGTTCCTCACATTGTTAAACATTTCTTTCTTCAGCCTCACAGCTTTCCCACACAAGGCTGACGCTAGCCGAGCTCGTCCTTTTGAAGCCTTTCAGATGAGCAATTGAGTCTTCGTTTTCGACCTTGTAACAAAGAGCACATTGTGAGATCAAGACTTCCTTGACCCAAATCTAGCCTCTAGCATTTCAAGCTCTCATTCTCCGGGTCTGCACAGGTTTTTAAATCACATTGACCTTTTCAAGCGTCTCTTAATTTGACCTCCCAGTCCACGCCTTTCACCGTGACCCTCACGAAAGCAGAGCTCGCGAAGACTCATAGGATACTCATATACTGATATACGGAGATACTCGAATTTAATTTGGTCAATAGCTTTGCAAATCTAAGCATTGCGAAGTTTGCGCAAGCGGATTCTCAAAGTAGGAAGCACATTAGCACAAGTGCTTGCGGAAGAGAGATATTTCATTCGGAGAGCCGTAAGACCACGACAGAATAACGACATAGGACCGAGGGTATTGGCAATATATCTGCAATACTAAAGCGGCAGAATGGGAATATACGAGAAAGATCCTATCTGGGATGATGTGGTACCAATAGCACAAGATGATGGTGAAGGCGCTTTAGCACAAATTGCATACACGGATGAATACGCAGAGGGTAAGATTGCTACCCTTCATTCTCTCTACAAGACTCATGATATGTTTAGCAATGGGATACCTGCGGGCTGTAATGGCAAGCAAAGAATACTCACCTCGCGTTCTCGAACTCACCGAACACATCATTACCCTTAACGCAGCTCATTATACAGTCTGGCTTTACCGTGCTACAACCCTCTTTGCACTATCTTCCTCCGTAGCCGACGAACTCGCATTTGTAAACCAAATTGCGCTGGAAAATCAGAAAAATTATCAGATTTGGCACCATCGACAACTTCTCATCGATCACCTCTACCCCTCAATTTCATCCTCTCCTTCGTCGCTCAATGTGCTTGCGGATTCGGAACGAGATTTTCTGACACAGATGTTCGACGAAGATGCCAAAAATTATCATGTTTGGAGTTATAGACAATATTTGGTTTTGAAATTGGATATGTTTAACGAGGCGGAACTAAAGAGTGTAGAGGATCTGATAAGGAGAGATGTACGAAATAATAGTGCTTGGTCATATCGATTTTTCCTAGTTTTCTCGGACCCAAAATATTCGACCAAGGGATTGAAAGCAAATGAATTTGATGGCAAGATTCCAAAGGAGATAGTGGATAGAGAAATCGAATATGCGAAATCGGCGACATATGAAGCACCGCAGAATCAGAGTTCTTGGAATTATTTGAGGGGGGTTTTGAGGAAGGGGGGTGTGAAGAGTGAAAGTTTGGAGGAGTTTGCGGGGGACTTTGTTAAGCTTGGAGATGCAGATGGAAAAGGGGAAGATATAAGGAGTAGTCATGCATTGGACTTTCTGGCGGATGTCTGGGCAGAGAAGGGAGAATGGGAGAAGGCCGACAAAGCGCTCGAATTACTTGGTGATAAGTATGATAAGATTCGAAAGAATTATTGGGATTGGAGGAAGGGTTCATTCAAGGAGATGAAGGGATAGAGTGATGAGCATGGAACGACATAAATGATTGGTTATGGAATGGCGTTGAGGTGAAGAGCATGAGCGTATGTTTACTTCGTTTTCCCTTGCGTTGTTGCTTGGACGAGCATATACCAAGTTGCTCCCTTCTGTTGAATGAAGCTCGCATGAATATACAATTGTCTCGTGGTGAACACATCAACTTCTGATGATCATTTCGATATTCCATCACACGACGTGAGCGATTCATTCACCGTACCACATGCCAATAGTGACATTTTTGGGGCCCTTCCAAACAAAATCATCGTGTTCCTTTCCACTTTCCTGACTCGTCCCTAACATCACCACAGGCGACAAGAAGATAAACTCAAATTTCCAAACCCATGGATAGTCGGTTCCACTGTCTAGAAAATCTCACTCCCAATCACCCAAACAAGTCAAAATCCCTCGCTCGTCACATACATCATCAATATAAAATATTCGATCGCCAAACCAAAAGGACAATAGCTCGACAATAGCTCACCCCGCATTTGCGACACCTGCGCTATGCATAAAGCCATTACCCTATAAGTATCTCCACATTACCCTATTACTTTAAATCGCATGCCGTCCCGAGCTTCCCTTATCATTCCAATTACCCTATAACTTCGTGCGCGTATCATGATTACCCTATAGCTTCCCTTGGATTACCCTATAAGTATCCACGTGTATCTTTCTGAGAAAAGTCCATTACCCTATAACTTGTTTTAGCGAGATAGCGCATCCCCGCTTATCGTCGGATTCCCCTTTAGTAGGCTGGAAAGTGTGCAGTGCCGAATGGAAGGCATGCGCAAGAAGCCATAGGGATCCTGGTTTGTTTCAGTACGGAGGGTGTTATCGAATGCTTGGGTTGGTGTGTCGGGTTATCATGCATGCATGCACACACACATACGCCTTTAGCTCTACATGTTGGTGCTGGGAGCGAAAGTTCCCGATATTGATACGAAACTTCCGACATAGGAAATATGTTCCATTCTTTGCGATATCCGTGCTTGCTTCTGCGGATGCTTCGAGGTGGATGGATTTTTCGTGGGTTTGCGTGGAAATGGATTGGGTTGGATGCGAGAGGAATGAGCTAGCATGGATAAGATCTTACGATGTGAGTACTTAAGGTTTGCGAATGCACTCTTGCTTCAAACAAATATTTGGTTGGAACATTTGAGATTGGAGGTGATAAGATAGTTCTTCTACCAACATATTCGTTCAAAAAGAGTTTCCAGATACAATTCGAATACAGAAATATATACCGTATCATACAAAATGGGTTCAACAACTCCGATCACAAATGGAATGGGAGAGGGACATATATCAAAACCTTGGATTAAAACTCCATTGGTTAGATCGGCTGCTTTGTCAAGACATGCTGGATGGTGAGTTTCTAGAATGTTTTCGGCTTTTGTTGGAAGCATAAACTGATACGGGGATAGCAATGTGTGGCTTAAACTTGAGAATTTACGTATGTATTCGTTGACTTTGTTTCCATTGTCGAATGTTGCGCAGCTCATCTTTCGTCTTTGCGACATGTCCTGATCATCTCCTTTCTTCTTCTTTATTACCATGTTTCTCCTTTCACAGTTCATCTTCTCTGGTCTATTCCATGGAATCTCAATCTCATCCATCGAAATAACTAACATAGTTCAGAACCATCTGGCTCCTTCAAATCCCGCGGCATAGGGAATCTCCTCATCCGTTCCCTTCCTCCCAATCCCCACACCCCCGTCCACTTCTACTGTTCCTCAGGCGGCAACGCCGGCCTCGCCTGCGCCCACGCAGCATTCTCTCTCAACCGTCCCTGTACCATCGTCGTTCCCATAACCACATCCTCACACATGATCTCCAAGATAAAACTACTAAAAGCCGAAGTTATCCAGACCGGAAACCACTGGAGCGAAGCTGATAGATATCTACGCGAAGAACTATTAGCCAACGATGCTAATGGTGTATATGTACCACCATTTGATCACCCCGATATCTGGGATGGACACAGTAGTGTGATCACTGAGATTGAAGAGGAGGTTCGTGGACTAGGCATCCACAGTTTGGATGCGGTGATCTGCAGCATTGGGGGAGGAGGATTATTTAATGGCATCATGAAGGGATTAGAGGATAGTGGAAGATTGGGATCGCACAGTGAAACGAAGGTTATAGGAGTGGAGACGACGGGAACGGCGAGTTTCCATGCGGCGATGAAGAGGGAAGAATTGGTCAGGTTAGATGGTATCGATAGTATTGCTACGTCGCTGGGTGCGACACAAGTAGCGGCGAAGTCTCTGGAGTGGGGACTGAAGTATAGAAAGAATGTGAGGAGTGTAGTTTTGGGGGATGCGGAGAGCGTGAGTGGTATGGTGTGGATGGCGGATGAGGAAAGAATTGTAAGTTTCATTAATTCATGAATTTCTTAGTTCCATTTACTAATTTTGACGCAGTTGGTTGAGAGTGCCTGCGGTGTCAGTGTAGCAGTGGCTATCAATGGCATGCTGAAAAAGATATTAGAGGAAGATGGGGAAAGCATGGAGGGAAAGAATGTGGTGATTGTGGTTTGCGGAGGAAGTAACATTTCCCTGAAGACTTTGGGGGAATATAGAGAGAGATTTGGTGTATGAAAGCTTGGGACATACTTTCATTACAGATCGAGGGGCGGAGTAACAATGCAGCGTTTGATTTAGAGGAGTCTTCTCTCATCTCAATTGAGGTTTACTTTAATATGAGTAACGAGGTCTTTGCATCTCCAGTATTGTTCAACACTTTGGCAATAAGGAGTGTCTCAACTTCTCATTTTATATTTAGGAGTTACGTGAAACGGTTCTTGTGGGATAGAGTAAGTAATATGACTTGCAACAAAATATTCTTAGAATTATTGAACTGTCTAATTTCAATCTTTCCAGCTCCTTTGACCCTTCGCACCGACAGATTAAGTGGTTATTCGCGATACTCCTTTACTAGCGACTCAATGACCGAGAACAATGCAAGCTACTTATAGCTATTTCCTTGCAACGAATCTTGTGGCTAATACACGAATGTGTGCTGTAGCTCAAAGCATGCCACTAAACTTGGTCTTAACAATTCATCTCCAATTCATGTCAAGAATTCTCCACCACAGTGTATACCGTATCATAATAGATACTCTTTCTGCCTAGCTATGCATCATCCGCTATCGGACGATCTATCGTACTAGCCCCATTGGATTTTTCTACATTCACCAAAACATCAGTAGGACCACCACCAATAAGATCTACTGTTCTACGCTTCGTTCTCCCACCAAATAAGCAGGTCCAGATATCGTTTTCCGAAATGGCTTCACCATCATGCCCCTTGGAAAGAAGATTCCCGGGCACTGATTGCTGCATCTCTAGGCTATTGGCCTCTTCCAGAGCCTGTGCTACTAATTCCTCATCAGAAACCGCTCTCCCTTTGCCCTTTTTTGATATGGTTGCATGGCCTAGGTGCTTCAATCTTCTCTTAACAGATAACTCATAGATTGACTGATCAACAGTGTTGCCCATAACCATCACCCAAATATTGGTCTCAAACTTTTGTCCTATTCTATGAACTCTAGACTCCCCTTGGAGTGCGATTGCCGTGTTTAATAACGGTTCGCAAAAGAATATATTACTAGCATTAACTAAAGTCAACCCAGCACTATGTGCTCGAGAATGTAAGAGGAAGACTTCTATGCCAGGATCATTTTTGAATTTCTCAACCCCGTTAGGTCTATCAATGGATGAGTGACCAATGCGAAATGCATCAAATGCGCTAGCTAAAACCGGCAGGAACTCGGTAAACTGAGAAAATACGATTGACTTCGCGCCAGGATCTGTTTCTCTAAGGTAAAGAATGTGACGGGCTTTTTGAAGACTGTTAGTGGTATTTATTCAGTGAGATCAGAATTTACATACCAAGAGTATCAATTTTGGTGCCAAATGAGTTGTTGTCTTGTAACTCAATGCTTTTGATGGCGGAGAGAGTAGCTTTGCTGACATCTGAATAGATCGCAGATTTTTGAGGGGAGTTCGAGTTGACTGATCGTTCCTTCAACGGTTCTCGAATGCCGTCAGTTTCGGCGGTCAATGTCGGCTCATGTGGCTTGTAGCTAATATTGTGAAGCTCTTCATAAATCAGCATCTCTTTACAGATGGGGCATCTATGAGATACTTCAATAGGTCAGTAACGTGTATGCGGCACTTGGAGGTGATTGCATTCTTACATTTCCACCATTCCCTGGCGCAATCGGAACAGTATTGATGACCGCAAACGGTCAAAACTCCAAGCTCGAATTCATCTCTGCAAACGACACACGTTCGCTTATCTTTGGGATTTTCGACCTCCTCTTTCAAATGGACTAGATATCTTCTCTTGGCTCTCAGCGAAGCTATGGTTTGAGTGAGTGCATGTTCTTTTCGTAGAAAAGACTGATTGACACCATCATCACTGGGGCCTGTATATGGGGCCACCTGATTTGAAATTGCTTGTAATTGTTTGTAGTACTCTACTCGAAGATTCATGCACTTTGTGAACTGCCCGATTTCCTTCTCTAGATTCGCGGTTGCTTTTGTTTGATCTCTGAGATAGTTGTGGGTCAATTTCAGTTGACCTTCGACGATCGAGAGTTCATTTTGGGAATGATTTGCCTTGAGCTTGGATATTAGCGTCTGGAGTTCTGATAAAGTCCCTCTCACACTGACGCCCTTATGCAGAAACAGGCCTCTTATGTCAAATAGCACGAGTAGCTTTTCTGGAAAGGGACCTTTGCCATGTTTTGCCTCCCGGAAAGCGGTTTTGGCTTCTTCATTGACTAGAAAATTTTGCACGCCGGACAACGAGGCCTGTCGATCGGCAATCATTGTCCGCAATGCTTGCACATATACCACGACTTCTTCCTGTACTTTTATCGAATTCTCATACTCATCCCCATTGATGGCAATGCCTTCGTCATCGTTGTCGACTAATGGACTCAACAAGATCTTGATGAGGTGGTTTCGCCATTCGTTAATTTGATATGCTTGTCTATCCAAACTAGTTCCAAGCTTTTCGAATCTAGTCATTGATAGTTAGTTATGTAGGTACAACGGGTAATGATATGAGAAAATGTATCTGAAAATATAAACTGAATCGAGATATAAATATCCACAGCTTACTCTTCCATAATCCGGCGGCTTTCGGGACCCCCTCTGAGAGTACTAGGCACGAACTGAGGCAAGTGAACAGCTGCACTAGATTCTGTATCTTTTCTAATTGCGGTCATCATGTTATCTGTCCTCTTGAAGGCCTATAATGTGTTAGCCCAGATATCTTCAGGATGTGGGACGACAAGCATCCGATCTGAATTGTGCAATCAATTCTTTGCAATGAATCAAGGAATCAAAATCGTGAAATAGTTAGAACTATATTTCATAGCAGTGTAAATGTGTGCTAGTGCAATACAGAACGTACATCTTGTAGTATTTCACGCCGTAACTCCTTAGCCTCTTCGTAACCCTGTCTCTCGAGCATATCGAGGTTTTCAAACTCGGCGGAATT